CAGGTAAAAAGTCTTTGTGGAGAGGCATTTGCCAAAATGCAATTAGATATCGTCTGATAGCTGATTTAGCTTTTGCTAGCTTTAAAAAACAAAATGCATCTGCACGCATATGCAGGTATCTGTTTAGAGAGATCACCTGAAACGATTAGTGCACAGAAGAAGAGTATTGGCTCGGATATCCGCTCGCTACACCGGATCTCCTGAAATATTTCTGTTGCCCTCAGACGTCATCAGACCAATATCTGACGGGTTGTGAGATTGAGATATCCAAAAAGCTAACGTGGCGTTTATGTCATATGGGAATTACGACAGTTATCCAATACTGATTTAGAGCTCACATCAGCATCTGAGTTGTGGTTACAACTGGGAGTGCCAGACATCGTTTAAGGTAATTAAATAATAATTTAAGAGATGTAATGTTGCATGTTCACCCAAGCTAATTTTTAACCCCCACGTAACCAGTTCTTAAATTATAAAACCGTCTTGATTGGTCCAATGACGTTAATGCTCATGAGTCGGAAACATGAGAATCTTTCCCTTTGCTACGTTCTGTCGCCGGAGCGTGCATAATGCTGCTGACAGAAATGACATTTTCTTTCTTACGTCCGTCACCAGCAAGAAAAGAAGTACTTTAAATAGTTGAACATTTAGGAGAGGACACCTCGCTTGTCTTGGGTGATGACGGAGGTTTGGAAACGTGCAGGGGACAAACTGGCTGTTTTGGACTCTAAGAGTGACTGATGTGGGCGGGTGATTCACTCTGACTGACAGAGGGAAGACTGATTCATTCATGAGAGGGGACGTTTGAAGTCTGTCAGGAGAGCGGAATTAGGTGGGTAGTCTCTGAGATGGGAGAGACGGTTTCTCAGATCTGATCCTGTATGGAGGGCTTCAGGGTTGATGGATCAGTTGGTTTTCTGTGCGTCAGACTTTCAGCAGAGAAAAGCTTTTGCATAACGGGGAATAAACAATGGGCACTTTTAGACAGAAACAAAGCGCCAAACAAGAGACGGCAGCACGTCATTGTTCCCGTCTTTGTCTCTTTCCCTGAATTTGAGGTCAGATACAACAATTCGTTGTGGACAGCACACAATCTAGGTTCAGTCTTAACTCTGAAATATTCCCTTTCACTTTGTGCATCTCTCCTTTCATAGACACATTCAGAACCATTAATTCTACTGGTTAATGAATTGATCGATTAATAGACTACGTTTACAAAATTCACCCAACGCCTTGAGCTGTTTTAGGGCCTTAAAGTGACAGTAACATCAGTCCTATCAAAGAATTGAACAACAAGTAATTCAGGATTTATTTTCAGGCCGTTGTTCCAACATATTCATTTTTCGTACACTGTCAGAAAGACGGACGTGTCGATATTGATATTTTGTGACAGAAAGAGTATATTTTGTCAATGATAGCGCTACTAACGTGTGTGTAGTACATGCTGGTGTGTTTGAAGTCACCTTAGAATATGTAATTAGTGAAGAGCAATATTTTTCATCAGCAAGTGTCTGTGTATAAATAGAAAGAGTGCAGTGACATCAGATTGTACCGCAACGTGGGAACGTTTATTCTTGTCTTTGAAAGTAAAGACACAGGCAATATAATCTGTGTTCCCTGTGTAACTACGGCAACCGCCGCGGTCACCTGACGATTGTGTGAGTCATGGGTATCATTGACTCAACCCTCTCTGATGTAAAGACGTATGAGTCTGGTTGAATGATCCCTAAAGCCTGTGTCCATGCTGCATTACAACACGGACTTCACCACCCATTTGTTGCAAAGGATGATGGGTATCATTTTGCTGACAGAGCTGCCCGTAGCATGGACAGAGCTATGCCATGAAGAGGGCGTGGCTTGACTACAATGATGGCAACAGAGTGGACAGTTTCCATGTCAAACTCTGATTGGTTGGATGTTTTCCGGAAGTCTTGGTCGTCAGTTTGGAAACCAGCGTGCACAAGATTGGATTCGCACATGGATGGATGAAAAAGGAAAATTGTTTTTTAAACCTTTTGTGGCAAAATTCACAGGTACAGGAAGGAGCAGATGTGGAGTTCGGACAGCTCAAGCAGATTCCATGATGGCGTCCGTGATTCGTCTCAGACTGAGATCGAAAAGACACCTTGTCCAATTGAACCCAGGCCAGATCTGCGCCTGTGGACTGAGGTGTAAGAGTTCGTAGAGGCTCGAAGGACCTCCTCGAGAAAGCTCAAGGGTGATACCGAGCCGTTGATGTTGTGGTTGATGGTGTTTTTGTTTACCTGAACTAATAAGGTTATATATCTCCATGGTTACAGAGTGCCATTTCTACTTGACAACTGTTACTACTTAGCATTAGATAGAGCTGTTATCGCTCTGTGTGGGTGTGGACTTTCGAGCGGAGTGACTGGGAAATGTTGTCTTAAATCTGTCTGTCATAGCTTGGGTTCCCGAAGGCTCCGCAGCTCTGACATCAGCCTCATAAAAGGAGACACAGCTGTTTTGGTGCGACGCCTTCTAATTCATTTAGGATTTTATCCAAATGTCCTCACAGTACCAGGAGTGTTGACACTGACTGTGTTTACATGCACAACATACTCCAGATTTTGCCCTCATTCCAAAAAAGACAGTATTCCTACTGAACTGTTCACACAGCTAATGAAAATAAATATTCCACTTATATTCGTGTTTACATGCAGCCAATCACAGCCCTGCCTGCTTACGTTTATATTCAGCTAATCTGAAACAGAAAATACATTTTCACGGAAACGTAATGCCGAACAAATTACAGCTTCTGTTACTGCAAAAATGTTGATACTCAATGTATCAGCAAAATGTTCAGTGACAATGTATTTCACTTGTTTTCTGCCACAATAGGCAACTTGCAGTAGCTCTAACCTATAACTGAAATCACGCTCTTTTCCTACTAAAACCAAAGTGCTTTTGTTGCGTAAACCTAAGACAGGTGTCTGGACGCAAAGTCGAAGTTCTAGTGTCAAAGTCCTGCACTTTGTCCGCCCACCATCCTCCCCAGCCACCTCGGTTTGAAGCCTAAAGGGTAACATGAAGAAAGTGTTTCGTTACCTGAAAGACATGTCTCTGAACAAGCAGCAATTATGTTGCCACAACATAAATGTGACTTAACATGCGAAAGCAGCTCAGCAACATATAAGGGTAATTTCTAGGAGACAGGATTGCCGATCAATGTGCCCTTTGTTGCATCAAGGTTTCCTTTTATTTCTTCAAAGTTCTCCGCTGACGGTGAACGTGTTGATATCAAAGTCTTTCATAATGTTTAAAAGTAGGTGGTTTCTTCTTTTCCCCATTTCAAATCCAGAATATTGTCATACTGGAATAATAGTACAATAAACAAGTAAACGTAGTCATTGTCTGGAAGGGTTGACACAGACTGAATGATCGGCACCTGGGCGTTGTTTTCTTTAATCACTTCGACAGTCAAACCAGACGGACTAAGGTTTTGTGATCAGAGACCAAATCAGTGGGTTTAAGAATTGGTTGGAATTATCTACAGAATTACCAGCGCCAATATTTAACGCACTTCTACCAGCTGAATGGAAGAAGGTCCCATTTCTTCTCTAGAGGAATCATGGGAAATGTAGTCAGCACTGACTGAAGTAGAAGTAGGCATGGAGGCAGGGTTGATGGATCGTCAGAGCTCCTGAAACCACAAACTGTGAAGCAGGAGAGATTCCCAACATCTGTTAGTTTCCATGTAGCTCCATGGGTACAGCAAGGCACTGCCAGGGTTGGGGGTTAAATTCCTGAAGATCCTGACACTCATGATCTCAACACTGCAGGTGCTGTGAGGCGTTTAGGGGTAACGTGTTCAGTGAAACAACCACAGAAAAACATTGGCCACTGCCAACGGTGAATGTCATCTTATTTGCCAGCAGGCCGACGGCAGTCAACAAGGCAAATATCAGCTGATGCAGAGCGCCCGATAAATTGTCGCGAATGATTTCCCTGTACACGAGGCTGTCGTCAGAGCTGCCCGAACGTTTGGAAATCTTGTCTTACTTTTTTTGTTGAGAAATCTGTCGAGTCAAACTAGAGCAAGGTTTTCATCAAACGATGGTGGACAATATATCCTAAAGTAGTCCTCTCTGACAGAAGAGTTTCACACTGACTGGATTCACATTAACACGTCAGATTGATGAGTTCAGTATTGTCTAAAAGCTATGATTGGCTCCTTCTTCCTTCAGCCACCTTCTTGAAAAGGTTGGTGTTGCAAACTACGGTAGAAACCCGAGACCCATATTCTATGTGTGTGTATACATGTTCAAGGAATGCTTCTAAAAACCAAGTAATAACCAACATATCCCATGTTTTCATTGAAGAATGCTACATTCTGATTAAGACCTAACGTGAAACAGCCAAACACAATCTGCCATTTCCACGACCTGTATCAAATGCATTTTATTGAGATCCCCTACGATGAGCGATAACCTCCGATACTGGTACGTTCGTCTGCTCTGGGGCACCAGTCCTGACTGAAATGTGAACCCAGTCAAAGTTTTAGACAACTCTGGATTTCGGCCTCATTAAATGTTCACCATTTTGGGCCATTGATCAACTTTCACTTGTTCCATGAGGAGACTGGAAGCAGCTTCACCCGCGGTGTTTGACGAAATGATTTAATTTACTAAAACGTCCGTGTGTTCCTTCGATTGTAGGAGCCTCCGTCTAAAGAACGTTTTTACCTTGTTCTCTTCTCTCCTTCCTGTTTGCATGAGGTTTCTGTTGGAGGAGTCGAAGGAAGCAGAGAAGAGATGAGTCTTTGAAACCCCTTAATATTATGATGATAACAATGCTAATTATTAGTGATACTAAATTAATAGTGTGTGTATGTGTGGGTGTATGTGTGTGTGTGACCTAACTAAACCAGCCTGTTCTAAAAGTGTGTGAAGATATACTGAATAAAACTGTCAAATCTACCACGTGTCTGTCTCTGTTCATGCAGCGAAGCCACAGTCGGCTAATGACACGAAACACCGTCAGAGTTCTGGAGACGAATCATTTATTGATTAAGAATGCTCATGATGTCAGATTACCTCTGTCACACTCGAGCTCTCTGTCAAAACAGTCACGTTTTATTTCATGTACATTTCTAGAAAGTCAGAAACCCATTAGGAGAAAAACCACTTTTTTTAAGACACATAAAAGCTTCTCAATTCACAGCGGGGTATTTAATGACTTATTTTATGTCGTAGAACAAAACCTGAAAGTCTCTTCAGCTTGTTTTAACCACAGACCTTATTTCACACATCGAACCAAAACCCACTGACTTTGAGACGAGGGAACAGGAAGTGCTAACATGCTAACATGCTAACTCATTCTGGGTCTTAGGACTCACTCCTGCAGCTGTACAGATGAAGTTTGTCGTTTCGTCTGTTCCTTTCACATAATTTGCACAGGACGATTAATTTAATGTGAACTTTAAATTTTTTTTTAGTGAAACAACACAATTTTTAGTTTTACAACAATCACCCCCTCCCCTTCATTTTGCCCCGCCCTCCCACCCCGCCCTTGGAGAGACAACGACCATATAAGGTAACGGCTGCAGGACCACACCCAGCCGCCCCTGCAGGTTGGGCGGGGGAGCCCCGTCCGGCAGCTTGAAGCTCATTCGCTGCAGCAGAGAGGACAAGAAGAGGAAGAGCTCCAGCCTGGCCAACGATTCGCCGACGCAGACTCGAGGCCCCGCCCCGAATGGCAGGAAGCAGGAGGGTGCGACCCGCTGGCCCTGGTCGTCAAGGAAACGATCTGGAGAGGCGAGGAGACAGGGAGGTGGTGTGTTCAGGTGCTCTTTGAATTTTTCTGACGAGGTGGTTGTGTTTGTTTGTTTGTTTGTTTGTTTGTTTGTTTGTGTGTTTACCTGGGTTGAAGAGGTCGGGTTTGTCCCAGTGTTCGGGGTCGTGGTGAATCGACCACATGTTGACCAAAACTCGAGTCCCACGCCTGACGGAGTGACCTCCGATACTACGAGACAGACAGACAGAGTGTGGACGATCATTTTCATCATCAGTAAATCTGTCGGTTATTTTCAGTGCTGGAATCCATCTAAATACATTTAATCGAAATATTTTTCTCCTTAAGTTTTCTCCTTAAGTATGACACTTGAAGCATATTCACGCGTATGACGTGAGTCAACACATAAACATTCAAAATCAAGCGAGTGACGTAATTTGTGAACACAACAGTCGTGTTCTTCGTTTATCACCATAAACTCGGTCATGTTGCAGCTCAGAGTCAGAGGTACCTTAAGTTTGTTTTGTTTCCTTGCTTTGGTTGCTAAGGTCTTTTGTGCAACGGTCGAAGTATTACTTAAGTATAAGGCCAAGACAAGGAGAAAACCATAAATACTTCACTTAACATGTTAAGAAAACCTTAAGAAGAATATTTAAGGGTGTTTTGTGCAACTGATTTTATTTTGAGAAAACCTTAACTTGGACTTTAAGGTAAATCTTAACTTAAGGTGTTTTGTGCTTATACTTGACTTGAGTCACAGATTGACCACGTCAGTGAGTAGAAAAACGTGGGACAGACACACACACACACACAGAGTTTTCGTCATTATATAGTAAGATTTTTGAGGCGCACCTGCTGTCCGTCATGGCGGTGTGAGGGATCAGCACGGGGCTGACCGGTCGGATCCTCATGCCCTCATTGATGACACAGTCCAGGTACGGCAGCCGGCCGCGGTCCGACACGCACACCGCTCGCTCGTTGCCCACGTTTTCATCCAGCTCCTTCTGCACGCGCTCCTGGACCTTGAGGGGGCGGGGCAAAGAGGCCACAACGACTGTTTATAATCAAGACCAACAAACAACAGTGCACTGACGGTGGCGGAGGAGGACCATGTCTTCAGATCTCTTACTCAAAGAATGATTTAAGTATTTTTTTAAGTGACGCTGGAGTCACGGACTGAGCCCCGCTACATGACGACTTCAGAGTGACACAGGTTTGTATATTCAGTGAGACTGTGACTTTGAAGCTGGTGACCCAGGACGTGACCTCTGACCTCAGTGACAGCAGTGTGAATACAACCTGTCTGACCTCAGGGTGGTGCAGCAGGTACGCCAGGATCCACAGCAGCATCGTGGACGTCGTCTCCACTCCGGCTCCAAACGCCTCGGCTGCTGTCATCAGGACGTGGTCGTCACTTATCCTCTCCTCCTCGGACCCAGCTGACCTTTGACCCTGCCTGCTGTCCATCTTCCCCTTTAACAAGGCGTCCAGGAGGTCGCGGGGGTCACCGTCACTCAGAGACGCCTGCAGGATGTGATGTCACACAGATTGTCTTATTGTCTTTGGTCATCTGATCTGATTTCAGTCATTATTTAAGTGTGCAGACGTGTCCCCTCACTCAGAGACGTCCTCTGGACAAACAGGGTCCAAAACATTCTGTTCTTTTTAATAAATCAGTGTCTGTGAAGACATTTTACGTCCCTCTGAGTTTATTCACAGTCCTTCTGTCTGTGAGTTTGTTACCTTGTGTTCCTCCAGTTTCTGGGACAGCAGTCTGTCTCTGACGCTGATGCAGTCCTTCAGCTTACTGAGACACTTGTTAGGGAAGACCTGAGGGACAGAGACACGCTGTGATCTTTCATAAACTGAGGACATTTTGGGAGAGTGAGGACTGTTAAAGACAGTGAGGACAGTTTGGAGAGTGAGGACATTTTAAGACAGTGAGGACTGTTTGGAGAGTGAGGACATTTTAAGACAGTGAGGACATTTTGGAGAAAGAGGACATTTTAAGACAGTGAGGACAGTTTGGAAAGTGTGGACATTTTAAGACAGTGAGGACATTTTGGAGAAAGAGGACATTTTAAGACAGTGAGGACAGTTTGGAGAGTGAGGGCATTTTAAGACAGTGAGGACAGTTTGGAAAGTGTGGACATTTTAAGACAGTGAGGACAGTTTGGAGAGTGAGGACAATCTTAGAAAGAGAGGACGTTTTGGAAAGTGAGGACATTTTATACAGTGAGGACAGTTTGGAGAGTGTGGACATTTTAAGACAGTGAGGACAGTTTGGAGAGTGAGGACATTTTGGAGAAAGAGGACAATCTTAGAAAGAGAGGACGTTTTGGAAAGTGAGGACATTTTATACAGTGAGGACAGTTTGGAGAGTGAGGACATTTTAAGACAGTGAGGACAGTTTGGAGAGTGAGGACATTTTAAGACAGTGAGGACAGTTTGGAAAGTGTGGACATTTTAAGACAGTAAGGACATTTTGGAGAGTGAGGACATTTTGGAGAAAGAGGACAATCTTAGAAAGAGAGGACGTTTTGGAAAGTGAGGACATTTTATACAGTGAGGACATTTTGGAGAGTGAGGACATTTTCAATTAAAATGAGGACATTTTAAGTCAGTGAGGACAGTTTGGAAAGTGTGGACATTTTAAGACAATGAGGACATTTTGGAGAGTGAGGACATTTTGGAGAAAGAGGACAATCTTAGAGAGGACAGTTCGGAAAGTGTGGACATTTTAAGACAATGAGGACGTTTTGGACAGTGAGGACATTTCTTATGGACCAGAGTGGACTGTTAAAGGTTTGAGTTTTCAGGGTTTTCAGGGTCAGAGTTGACGCACCTTCATCCAGGGGTAAATGTCCACCAGTCCTCCTCTGGTGATCGTCTGCACGATGCCGTCGTTGCATCGGATCACTTCCTGCAGCTCGGCGTCGCCATGGCGATAGGTGGCGCTGAACACCAGCGTGCACACCACGTTGGTGACGGCCCTGGTCATCGCGGGAGACGGGTCGAAGCCTCGCTGTCCACCGGACAACAGCTCGGCACACAGACTGTCCACAGAGGACAGAACTGGAGAGACGTGGAGGACAGACGATGGAGACGTCGAGTTAGTCACTTAATCAATATTTTTACTTCCTGTCTAAAATCAGAATAAAAAAAAGTGTTATGTTTGTTGTTATTTGTTGCGGCGAGCGTGACGTGTCAGGATGTTGATCTGTCAACAACAGGAAACTGGTGGATCAGTAAACACAGTACCGATGTCCTGCAGACGACTCGTCCCTTCTCCGAACAGAGTGAAGGAGTTGTGGACGAGGCGGCGGTGGAACTTCCAGAGAGGAGTGTAGTCTGAGAAGGCGATGTCTTTGCCTCCGCGGGTCAACAGGTCGGTGGTCACCTGCAGTCAGAGGGTCACCGTGACAACCATCGTGTCTCAGTTTGTTTCATTCAAACAATAAATCACAGCTTTAAATTCACGATCTGAATTCACTCTTAGCGAAGACGTCGCCATCTTTAGAAGGCGGAAGCAAAATCGTATATTTAGCAGAACTGTCTCTGTGTGTCTCACCATGCTCGGCCGTCCAGCGAAGTCTCGTCCTCTCTGCAGCAGGACCTCTTTGGCGTGTCGATGGTCGTTGACGACCACAGTGTAGTGAGGACCCAGGTAGAGAGCGAACAGAGACCCGTACCTCAAACACACGACAAGTAGACACAGTGACTCGTCCTGCTCAGCGTCAACGTGTCCAACTTTGTAATGTCCAGTCAGTCCTATCTGTTCACCCAGGACCCTCTGCACCAGGAGGAACCCAGGGCCCTCTGCACCAGGAGGAACCCAGGGCCCTCTGCACCAAGAGGAACCCAGGGCCCTCTGCACCAGGAGGAACCCAGGGCCCTCTGCACCAAGAGGAACCCAGGGCCCTCTGCACCAGGAGGAACCCAGGGCCCTCTGCACCAGGAGGAACCCAGGGCCCTCTGCACCAGGAGGAACCCAGGGCCCTCTGCACCAGGAGGAACCCAGGGCCCTCTGCACCAGGAGGAACCCAGGGCCCTCTGCACCAGGAGGAACCCAGGGCCCTCTGCACCAGGAGGAACCCAGGGCCCTCTGCACCAGGAGGAACCCAGGGCCCTCTGCACCAGGAGGAACCCAGGGCCCTCTGCACCAGGAGGAACCCAGGGCCCTCTGCACCAGGAGGAACCCAGGGCCCTCTGCACCAGGAGGAACCCAGGGCCCTCTGCACCAGGAGGAACCCAGGGCCCTCTGCACCAGGAGGAACCCAGGGCCCTCTGCACCAGGAGGAACCCAGGGCCCTCTGCACCAGGAGGAACCCAGGGCCCTCTGCACCAGGAGGAACCCAGGGCCCTCTGCACCAGGAGGAACCCAGGGCCCTCTGCACCAGGAGGAACCCAGGGCCCTCTGCACCAGGAGGAACCCAGGGCCCTCTGCACCAGGAGGAACCCAGGGCCCTCTGCACCAGGAGGAACCCAGGGCCCTCTGCACCAGGAGGAACCCAGGGCCCTCTGCACCAGGAGGAACCCAGGGCCCTCTGCACCAGGAGGAACCCAGGGCCCTCTGCACCAGGAGGAACCCAGGGCCCTCTGCACCAGGAGGAACCCAGGGCCCTCTGCACCAGGAGGAACCCAGGGCCCTCTGCACCAGGAGGAACCCAGGGTTCTTTCTAAATGTAATAACTAAACATTGATGATTTCTTCAACACTGACTCGAAACATTAACTAGTTCTTGAAAACATAAAGGAGTTTTTACGAACATTAAAGGAACAATAAAAACTGGTCAACTAGGTTCTTCCACACACATTCACGTGTTCTTCAGGAGCTTCCAGTGTCTCACCTGTCCTCCAGGAAGATTAAAGGACGCTCGGAGTTCTTACCTGTGGGCCAGTCGGCTGAAGAGGAGGTGTGGAGGGAGGCCTCCTCCCAGCCAGGGGAGGCTGCCCAGGATGGGGAGTGTCGGCAGGCAGGGGATGGAGCCCCGAGCTGGAGGACGAGAGGACGGAGGATTGGTTTGGTAGACGCTCAAGAAAAAGACGACCGCAGCAACAATGAAGAAGACGAGGAGGAAGGAGGGAGGGAGGGACAGAGGGGAGATGAAGGGAGGAAGAGAGGAGAAGAGACGAGTGAACATGGCTGTGATGGAGGAGAATGAGGAGGGAGGCTGAGGAGTCCTGCTTTTAAACTCTGTCGCACACACGAAGCGACCTCGGAGAGGTCAGGGGTCATCAGTGTGTGTGTGTGTGTGTGTGTGTGTGTGTCCTCACCCTGACCATGTGTGTGTGTTTTTCTTTTGGTCAGCCTTGATGTTATCAGGTTGCATATCTCTGGTTGCCATGGCGACCTTAACGGAGAGATGTCAGCTCATCTGAGTTTAGAAACTGTATCAACATTTATGGCGGAGCTTCTGTAAGAGGTTCCCAACCTCGGGGTCGGGCCCCTCCAGAGGGCCCCAGGTAAACCTGAGGGGCCATCACATTAACGAGAGAGAAGAAGAAGAAGTATTTCTGAAACGCAAATCTGTTTTCACTGTTTAGACTTGTCTCCAGTTTTGATGTTGAGTGAAACATTGACAGACATTAAAACACGTCAACACGTCGTCCACACACAACGTCACTTTAAGACGACAGGTTTGAAAAGGACAAACATCTGGAGGTGTGGAGTTCGAGAGACGTGAGTCCTCTGCTGCAGGATAACACACCACAATCCACCACACGACTGTCAGAGGGAGAGGTGCACTGTGGGTAATGTAGGCAACAGGTTTAGACCAGGAAAAGAAGACGATATCTCTGGTTCTGCTGCATCGATTTGGATCCTTTGTCTTTCTGTGTGTCCACCATGAGTCCTCAGGCGTTGCAGGATGAACAGGTGTAATAGTCCTTTAACACCTGAGCAGCTGGCTGACTGCTCTATGTGACGGATTCATAAAGTGTGAGTCAGTGGCTGCAGATGACAGAAGCTGAAGGCCGAAGAGTTTCTGACGCCACGACGCTCTGAGCACATCGATGCAGCTCCATCACACAGTGTGTGTGCGTGTGTGTGTTATTTCTAACAGGTGGAGGGAACAGAAGGTGGCACGGCGCCATGGCAACAGTCTCTCTTCCCTCGCCCCCACACATACTTCCATCATCCCTGCTTCTACATATAGTCCCTGCAGAGGGGCTTCTTCACGTCCATCACGGCTCAAACGACGGCCTGATCGGTCACATGGTTATTTCTGTCAGTCTGGGCACACACACAAATGTCAGCAGCTTCTGAGCATGGAGACTCATGAAGAGCAGAGTCCTGACAGACGAATCTACAGCAGCTGAAGTATTAATAAACAACAGTGTTTAGAGCTGCAGTTCCTCTGTTCGGCCACTAGATGCTCCTAAAGAGCTCTGACTGTGCTCAACAGGAAAACATCTCATTTCTCTGCATTAAAGGCTGCTGTGCAAAGAACTCCTCATTTTATTCTTTGATTTGTTTCTTCTGACGAGACTTTACATCTGCATCTTTAAATTATAATAAATTATTAACTTTAAAACGGTGTTCAAGCATCAGTCTGCTCTCAGACTGAAACATCTCGACATCTGGTGGATGAACTGCTTAGATGTGGTTCATCATTCATGCGTCCTCAGGATGAATTATAATAACTCTGATGATCCTCTGAGTTTTCATAGAGCGCCACCATCAGGTCAACATTTTACCATGTGCAACACTACACACTAAAGTAAGATGGTGTTAATGAGCCGTCACCGTCTTCCAGTGACGTTTGAGCCACCGAGCACGGGTGTTTTTTAGCGATGACTCATGGTGTTTTCTGTGGCATTTGTTACGTCTAATGTGGCTGTTCTTTTAGCAACCAGTGGCCACGTTTCCAGCAGCGTTTGTGCCATTAAACATGACTGTTTTTAGCTATCTGTGCCTGTGAGTCCAGCTGTGTTTGTGCCACCAAATGTTGGCGTTTTAGTGACTGGTGGCCACATTTCAGTGGCGTTTGTGCAACTGAACGTGAGTGGTCATGATTTCAGCAGCATTTGTACCACCAATGTGGGTGTTTATTAGTGACCGCTGACCGCATCTCCAGCGACATTTGTGCCACTGAAGGTGGGTGTTTTTTAGCAACCACTGGCCACATTTCTCGCAGCTTTTGTGCCATCAAAGATGAGTCTTTTTTAGCAGCTAGTGGCCACATATCCAGCAGCGTTTGTGCCACTGAATGTTGGTGTTTTTTAGCAACCACTGGCCACATTGCCAGTGGCGTTTGTGCCACCAAATGTGAGAGTTTATTAGCGTCCAATGGCTGCGTTTCCAACAGCTTTTGTGTTGCCTAATGTGGCTGTTTTTCAAGTAACCAGTGGCTGCATTTCTAATGGATTCTGTGCCACTGAACTTGGGTTTTTTTTAGCAACCAATGGCCATGTTTCTGCAGTGCTTGTGCCACTAAACATGGCTGTTTTTTAGCAATCGGTGGCTGTGAGTCCAGCTGTGTTTGTGTCACCAAATGTTGTTGTTTTAGTGACTGGTGGCCACATTTCAGAGGCGTTTGTGCAACTGAACGTGAGTGTTTTTTTGGCACAAGTGGTCGTGATTCCAGCAGCATTTGTACCACCAACGTGGGTGTTTATTAGTGACCACTGACCGCATCTCCAGCGACATTTGTGTAACTGAAGGTGGGTGTTTTTTAGCAAACACTGGCCACATTGCCAGTGGCGTTTGTGCCACCAAATGTGAGTGTTTATTAGCGACCAATGGCTGCATTTCCAACAGCTTTTGTTTGTTTTTGCAATTTGTCACTTCCTTTGCACTAAATATGTTCACTTTAATCCATTGCTCACTTTTTATTCACTGCTGTTTCTTGTATTTTTTTTGTACTCTTTTTGCACGCCTAGTTTGTTTTACCTTTTTAAATTTTGACATCTTTAATCTGACTCTTTCCCCTTGACTGCTGTAACACTGGAATTTCTCAGTTGTGGGATCAATAAAGGCGTATCTTATTTTATCTTATATTATTATCTTTCCAGCAGCATTTGTGCCACCCAGCATGAGTTTCTTTAAGCAACCCATCACAGCTCTTCCAGCAACATTTGTGACGCCGGACATTGGTGGTTTTTTAAACATCCTATAGTTGCTTTTTCAGCAGCTTCTGTGCTACCAAACGTGGGGATTTTTTACGCCCAAACATGATCTTTTCGTAACCGTAACCAAAACCCTAAACTGAACCACACGTTTGGTTTAGGCAATGTATTGGCGACTTAATACGGCACAGATGGAACATATCTGTGGTTTACAGAACGTATAATACCAACATTATCTCTGGTGACTGGTTTGCATCACAAAGTGATTTCTGACAGACAACTGAAGGCATTACATCGCTCGCGTCAACACTAGACTGATTAAAACAATGATTTAACATCCCTGAACACATGAGCTGCTGATCTTTACTCAACTCATTCTCACAACATGATAAATACACAGCCCTACGCGTCACACTATGATGCTCGTGGTGCCCCTCCAGTGTCAGTTTTTGACGTTCAGGGACGTCATGTCAGTTTACATTTGTTACATGCTTGTGTCTTTTCAAAACACACCTCTGTCTTCACAGGAAATGTACGGTTTCTGCTTGTTAAAGGAATTCAGTCTGTATCAAGATTAACCCAGAATATTGGTAAAACACCTTCTTGCTTCAGTTTAGGCAACAGAAGCACGTGGTGAGGTTTATTAAAAGACATCATGGATTGGCTTAAAATATGTATGTTTGTAAAGTAACGTGACATATGTCATGTGATATAAGTCACTCGATGTATAACGCTACACAGACAACACACTATGTTGTTATTAAAATAACTAGGAGACAGACAGCAGGCTACCAGGTGAAAGTTCTGTGCTCGTCTGACACAGGCCAATGAACTGTGACGGACTGTTCCTACAGACAAAATTGACGCTCCTAGTTTGGAGTATGGAGACAGGAAAATTAATACAGCTTTACAAGTCAAATCACAAAGCTTTTAGATATGTTGCCTTATTGGTAATGTTGTTGGAGGGTTCCCCCACAGGGACAAAATTTCAAAAAAATTTAGGAACCCATAATAAAAAACTATATATTTATATATATATATATACACACATATATATATCGCCCCACTTGCCCGGCGTTTTTCAAACATATCCGATTCAAATTATATTCAAATATAATTTCCAGGAGCTGGCGTACATGAAGAGAGAGACGAACCCAGGGAGGAAATTAAGAAATGTAAATCCTGGTCTCACTCCGAAGTCTTTGAAATCTGGTACTTGGGCAGTGACTTGTGGCGTCAGAAACAAATGAAAAAAGGCATCGTTTAATGTCGGCATGATACACGACCGGTTGCCGTTATAGTTTAACAGCACCTGGTGGCAGCAGGGGGAAACGCGGTGGGACAAGGACGAAAGTTAAGGCAGCTAAAGTCCAAATGAGGCGGGCAATGGGTCCAACAACCACGGACTTTCACCCAGGGGGCTGGTGTTCACTTCCTGTAAGATTGTAAAGCCAAACCTTGTTCTTTTGTCCTAAACCCAACCACGTGCTTTTGTTGTTGGAGGAAAAAACGTCTAAGCCCCGCCCTCAAACGCAATGAGCCAATCACAGTGCGTATAGCCATTCCCATACACTGGGACATTCTCTGCCTGGACGTCCATTGAAATGCATTACAGAAAGTCAGTTTGTTGGGTTTTATGAGCTTTTCTGAGATTTGAAGTTTAAAAATGGTCAAACGGTGTGCATGGGGTACATGCAACTCTGACACAAGGTATCCTGAGAGGCTGGGCGACCAGGTGTATTTTTTACACTTTAAACCACATCTCAAGCGAGAAAAGTGTCTCCTTTGGATAAAGTTGTGTGGTAACGTTAGACCACAACATCAACTCAACGTGAATAAGATTAACAATGATGTCTACATCTGTTCTAAGGTAAGTCAACATTGTGTTTGAGGCAACATATTGTCACTTTGCTGGAAAGAAATATAAAGTTATCTTTAACATCTCTAGCTAACGTTAGCTAAAGTTAGCCTAACGTTAGCTCCTAGCTGCGTTGTTCATCATGTCACCTTGTTTGCTGGGAGTTCATTAGCCTATTTTGTTCTAGTTTTGTACTTTGGTGATCGTACATCATTGTTAGCTGTTGTCCAAAGGGCTCTAGTTAAGCTAACGTTAACTTCTGGAGCTTAGCTTCATTAACTTATCTGTAATGGCAGAGATAACAAAGGTTGGCAAACGTTATGCTGAATGATTCAGT